AATAACCAAGATAAAAATTTGTTATGAAACCATCGATTGTTTAAAAAATCGTCGATTTTAGCACTTTTTACTGTAGCGGACGAATGGTAAGAATTATTTCTTTTGAATTTTTCTTTCTTAGCTTTCAAAAATGTTGGAAGAGAGCAAGGATGACTTTTTAACATTTTGAACCTTACTAACTAGACTTATAACCACATTTGGAAAATTACTAACTAAATTAATATTATCATTAGAAACTACATGTGAGGGAAGATCATTTGAAGGATAATCTCACTACACAATAGAAGGCATAGTATTCCCGCTAACTAGAGACAGAATATAATTAATATCAACTGTAGATTCACTACAGTTAGATATAATATCTACAGGAATGTTAAAATTAAGAGCCAGATTTTTATGAGGGACTGAAATAACATTTAAATTGGATTCAAAATGTCAAGGACCTTGAAAAAATCTAGCAAAATTGACAAATTAACTTCTGTTTCCTTAAGGCCAAAACAAATTATTATTCATATTAATTTATATTTTTGCCTCTAATAATTGGAATGATATTAGTGGCAGGTTGGGAAATTGACTTAGAATGATTTGATCCTAAAATATATCCAACAAGCATAAGATTTCATTGCTTTTGATCCTTCCTTCACCTCAAATATGAGAGGAAATTTTATTGTCTGCACAGACCATATAAGAAAGATTATAATCACAACAGCTCGTAAGATGAGAAGAAATTAACCCCTCAAGTTAAAGGATGGGTCGGGATGACGAATAGAACAAGAATGAGAAGAAGAAGAAGAAAATAGAGGGAGAAAAGAGGAGGAATCCTAAGAGATAAAAAGGTGACAAAGCCTTACAGACACTAAACGTTGAAAAATGAAGAAAACAAGGGTTTCTGCTGAGGAGGAATCCTAAGAGATAAAAAAGGTGACAAAGCCTTAAAGACACCAAACGTTGAAAAATGAAGAAAACAAGGGTTTCTGCTCAAGCAATAGGGAAGAAAGAAAATCCCTCATGAAATTCTAATAGAGCTCATGAATTGCCAGAGATCTCACAATACTGATATTTTAGCGCATTGAAGTTATTGATGTAATCCCTATATATATATATCATATTAAATTATAGAATTTTGATTTGTAGTTAAAATAAAAATAGCTATTGCTACATATTAAATATGTAATTAAGATAATAATTAGATATTATTAATATAATTCAATATGTTTAATAGAGCATGTATCATATAAATTTTGATATACATTAATTTTTAAAATTATTCTAAGACAATTAATTAGGTTTTTTATTCATTAATTTATTAGAAGGATATATATATATATATATATATTTATATATATTCATTTAGAATTTTAATCTAAACACATAAAAAACTTTATTAACGCCCAAAAAAAACAAGAAAAAAAAAAACCCCATATTTTTTTCTCCTTAAAGAAACCCATTATTGAAGGTTGCTGATTAACGCCCCGCTCGATTGCAGTGCAGAGTATACCCTGCAAGATCAGGCCTCCCCGAACTCCTCATTAATGGTCACTAAACTCATTATTCTCCAACAGAATGAAAGCAACATCCCACCCATCAATTATTTTCTGGCCTCCTCTGCGTCCATGTAACAGTTTCCAGAGCCGCTCCACTTGCTAAACTCCATTACTTTACTCGCCAACTCCCACTTGCTCAGCACATTAAGATTATTTCCCAAATTAATTATCGAGTCAACATGGTAGCTAACTCGTAACTGCAGTTTCTGTTCCTCCCTAACAACAATATAAGTGCAGCTCAAACAATCCACTCTGGCGCCACCCCACTCCCTATTCCAATTTCAATACAAGCATGGCTCTGCTTGCGTTGATCTCCTTTCTACTCTCTCATCTCAAGCTTGCCGACATCGGCGTCGGCATGCTCATTCTCTTTCTCTCCAGCTCAGCCATACAATGGCTGACAGGCAAGGGTCCCATGCAATGGCCACTCCTCGGCAACATGCCCTCCTTTGCCGTCCACATTCACCATGTCTACGATTGGGGCACCCAAACCCTCGTCAAAGCAGGCGGCACCTTCCCCTTCCGCGGCGTGATGTTCGCCCGTTTCTACGGTGTCGTCACCGCCGACCCCTCCAACCTCGAGTATATCCTCAAAACAAACTTCTCCAACTTCCCGAAAGGCCGCTACTACCGCGAGCGCTTTGTGGATTTCCTCGGCGACGGCATTTTCAACGCCGATGACGCAGTGTGGAGAGACCAGCGCCGCGCCGCCACCGCCGAGATGCACACCTCGCGCTTCGTCGAATACTCTGCTGACACCATTCGTGAACTTGTGTACCAGAAGCTACTCCCACTGCTCCGCCGGCTAGCCGAAAACTCCACCGTCGTCGATCTCCAAGACGTGTTCCTGCGGTTCACGTTTGACAATATCTGCACGGCGGCTTTCGGGGTGGACCCTGGCTGCCTCGCTGCTGACTTACCGGAAGTTCCGTTCGCGAAGGCGTTTGAGGAGGCCACGCGGTTTACCCTTTTTCGGTTCCTGGTGCCGCCTCCTGTTTGGAAGATTATGAAGGTGTTGGACGTGGGGACAGAGAGGAGGCTCAGGATTGCTATCCGTTCCGTACATGAGTTCGCGGAAAAAACGGTACGAGACCGCAAGGCTGATCTTAGCTTTAACGAACGATCGGATTTGCTGTCGAGGCTGATAAGTAGCGAGCAAGGATTCTCTGACAAGTTTCTTAAGGACTTTTGCATTAGCTTCATACTGGCAGGGAGAGATACTAGTTCGGTGGCGCTAGCATGGTTCTTTTGGTTACTCTACAAGCACCCTCGCGTGGAGCGCAAGATTCTCGCAGAGATATTGGCGATAATAAAGCAGAGGGGAGTCGCTGCAGCGGGTTTTGAATTGGACGAGGTTGTGTTCACCGTTGATGAGGTGAAGAGGATGGATTATCTTCAAGCGGCGTTGACGGAGTCTTTACGGCTTTATCCGTCGGTGCCGTTGGACTTTAAGCAGGCGTTGGAAGACGACGTGTTGCCGGATGGGACGAGGATAAGGAAAGGCGGAAGGGTAATATACTTGATATACGCTATGGGGAGGATGGAAGGGATATGGGGGAAGGATTGTATGGAGTTCAGGCCGGAGAGGTGGTTAAAGAAGAGTGTTTTTACAGTGGAGAACCCGTTTAAGTATGTTGTGTTTAATGCTGGGCCGAGATTGTGTGTGGGGAAGAAATTTGCGTACATGCAGATGAAAATGGTGGTGGCGGCGATGCTGCTGAGGTATAAGGTGGTGGTAGAGGAAGGGCAGGAGGTGGTGCCGAGGTTGACGACCACGCTTTACATGAGGGATGGACTTAAAGTGACAGTGGAAAGAAGGAAGGAATGAAACTGAGCATGAATAAGCGTAGATCATGTTTCAGAAAACAGCACAAAAAAAGGATGGGTCAAGATGACTAGTGAAGACCATTCTTGAATGCGAGGTAGCCTCTCTGGAATTAATGAGCTATTTATTAATCAAGGTTGACTGTGTTGTTAGTTTATAGCTTGTCTTCATGTGAAACTGTAAAGATGTGAATGAAAATAGCGAGAGTAGGGAGAAGCTTAAATATGCATATCGCAGTTGAATAAAGTTGAGTGCTTTGAAGAAATGACTAATTATATTCATATCGTATGATAAATGAGGAGATGAATTCCATTAGTTCTTTTTAATCTAATTTTTCACTAATATAAACAATGTCATAATTTTCAACTTTATAAAAGTAAAAGTACATGTCATTCATAAACTTAAGAAATCAAAATATTACAAAAATGAATAATGAGTCATCACAAAATTTTATCATTTGACACAAATCTTGATGTATTCTTGAGCAAAAAAAATATCCAAATTCAAACTAAAACCATCTAAAGCTCCGATTTCAGCAAACTTATACTCAAATTGACCAGCTCGTCAAGACGAACCAAATAACACAAAAATTAGTCTAATACAAGTCCCATCAAGTCTAAATCAAGCAGTTAAACCACTTTTGGAGGCATTAAGTGATGAATTGGTGTGTCAAATGAACTTCAAATTTGATGTACATATAGTCAAATCAAGCATCTCAAAGAGCAGAATCCAACGAGTTCATAATTACCTAATTTTGAGGTCATTAAGGTCATCTAATCATAAAAAAATATTTTATGATCAGGATGATCATTATGAGTTAGTTGATATGATGGTTATAAGAGGTATTCACCGAATGACCAAAATGTCCTTTTTCAATAAATTGACCCCCTCTCTTCAACTAAGGAGCGGGAGAATGGGTCAAATTTCAGTATTGTTCTAAACCAAATACTCTACGATAACTTCCAGCCTCCGTAGCCAACAACCACCACTCGTCATCTACAGTTGATTGTTGTTGACCACAACCTACTCGTCGTCATCGATGAACCCTGTGGTTTAACAAAGTATCCTGAATAAGGTATAACAAAGTATGTGAAATGTAGTGTAATAAAGTCCCTGAACATGATGTAACAAAGTATCACAAACACGGTGTAACAAAGTATCCCTAACACGGTGCAACAAAGTACCCCAAACACGATGTAACAAAGTACCCCAAACATTTTGTAATGAAGTAGTCAGAACATGACGTGACGAAGTACCCTCAGTACTGTGCAACGACATATCCCAAACACACCGTGTTGAAGATCTGGTGATAACTCCAAGCGTCATCTGATTACAACCATTGTATTTAGAATATGATGACTTCTTTTAGAATTCTAAAGTTTTCTTCTTATATTGTATACTAATAAGTGATGTCTCTCGTGTAAAGTAGTAAACCCAAGCGAATGGATGTAGCCACCAACTAGTGTAACTCCACCTACAATCTCCGTGACTGACTGAAGATATTATACTTTCCAACTACGTCTTCTATGATCAATTGATGTTATTGATGTCTCCAACTATGAACTTTGTGGCCAACTGACGCTATTGAAGTCACTAACTATTGCTTTCATGACTAAATGAAGATATTAAAATCTTCAAATGTTGTCTTTGTGACCAAATGACATTATTGAAGTCACTAAATATGGCTTCCGTAGCAAATTGATGTAGTCACTAACAAAGACTTGTGTGATCAAATATGGTCTATGTAGCTACTGGAGCTTCCAACTATGACCTATGTTACCAAATATAATTTATATGGCTAACTACTACTATGGCTATTAATCAAAACCTATGTAAAATGTTACAGCTTGCTTAACTAAATACTACTACAAGTTCCAACTACAACCACGTGGATAAATAGTAATTCAGCTACCAACCATGACCTATGTGATCAATTACGTTCTATATAGCTAATTGGTACTACAGCTTCCAACTATGAAATCTATGACCAACTACGACCTATGGGCCTAACTACTAACACAACTACCAACTACGATCAATGTGACTAACTATGACATTGGTGGCTAACCACAACTATCAATCATGACCTATAGGACCAGCTTTGTCCTACTTGGCTAATTACTATTTTAACTTCCAACTATGGTCACCGTGGCCAACTTACGCTTATACAGTTACCAACTATGACTTATATGACCAACTAATACTAAGGCTTCTAATTACGACTACTATGACAAACTAACATTATTACAGCCACAGTTTACAAAAATTGTGACGGATTACTACTTTTGTAGCAGTCAACTACAGTCGTTGTGACCCATTATCCTCATTATCACTAAGAACTATATTATTATAGCCCAATTATGATTATTAAAGTTGAACTATTTTTGTACATTTGTGATTATCAATATTGTATTTTCATTTTCTTTAATTCAAAAAGAAAAGTGTGTTTATATATTTACAATCACATTGTGGATTACTTTGACTAGACTAGACCCTTTGGCTTTTTTCCTCTCAAAAATTTTTCCACATAAAAAGTTACAATCTCTCATCCTTTTATTTCACTATTATTAGTGTGTTTTGGGTATTTGTGTAACACTATGATGTCAAATTATCAGTATGCTTTTATGAATCTTTCTGCACATATTAGTTTGACACCTTCCGTGAGGAATGAAGTTCTGATGAGCACATTCTTGAGGTCCAGAATGCCAAGCCCATAGTTTATTTTTAAATGATACGCATAACCCGACTGACAAAGGATTGTCAAGAACTCTTCCTATCATTCTGGTATTTATCAAAGTAAGTGAAAGTCACTGAAAGATGATTTTCGAAACATTCTTCTATAAAGGGGAAACTTTCAATATAGTCTCGAAAGTTTTTTCATTTAACATCATGTGAATGATTATGGTGTGGTAGTCTTATCGTATCCTATTCAAGTTTGCGAGAAACAATTTTAGGCTTTGTTGACCTCACTTTTGGTTGAGGTC